CACGATAAACTCTATTTAGAGTATCAATTGGATTCGAGCGCTCATAACCGCTCGGTTTTTTTTTTTGAGCACAGATTCTGAACGCGCCATTTACTAAGTACAGAAGTCAGAAAAAATATTTCCCAGGCAAAAGGTGATTAAATCGTCCATGTTTACATACACACCTAAAGATATAAAAACCTGCTAGAGATGATTCCAAGAGCTTTTATTCTCAGTTTAAGAGTACCTTAACAACAATACTGCAGCAATACTGAACTTTGGCGCAAAAAATAAAAAACAAAAAACAAAAAAATAAATATAGTTTCTTTAACTTTCAATGTAAAAGGCTTAAATCATAGTTTACACGGTTACTCAATCACTTCTTTAGATCAATTCCGCATTAGCGCTAGATGCTACAATCCTCAGCAACAACAACCTTCTCGGCTCATTTTTCCTGTAGCAGATTGTTTGAAATTAACATTTTCATTCAAATAGAAGGCTGCAGGAAGCACCTGGATCTTGAGATCCCTACACAGAAACTGGCCTGCAAAGGAAAAATAATGAAAATATATTACAATAAAATAAGAGAGCGAAAAAGGCCTAGATGTCTCTTTACGCGGATCTGCCTCGTACCAACAGACATCTCTCTCTCTCTCTCTTGATGAAAATTTGCGCGCTACACTCGCGTGTCACTCGCATTTCGCGCCTGCATCTGTGCGAAAAAAGCCGAGGTGTATGAGGAGGAGGCTGTTCGTATCATGATACAGTCTAACTCGCGCCTTGCGGGCAGTTCGCTATTACTGACACCCCGCTAATACTGACCTGCAGCTGCTAAACCCCTTAAAACACTCTTTACCACGGGAGTCTCGCCATTACGGAATTACGGACACTTTTCTCGGTCCCGAGAGCACAATTTTATTGCTCTAACTCTCGTTATCACGGACATCGATCAGCGTCTTGGCAACATTAAGTTTGAATTATCTCAAATTATAATGTATCATTCCTCCTCTTTTTCTGTTCGCCTTTGTTTAAGGACTTTTAAGAAAGTGTTCAATGGAAGTATTTCAGTATTTTTTATTACGAAAGGGCATTCCAACGTTGCTCATCAATTTAGTATTCTTGGTGACAAAGTACTACTCGAGTACCACTTATATGTCGCCTACTCAGAGCAGCCAAAGCTGGTTGACGTGTTTATAAAGTAAATAAAGTTCTGACGCTCATTGTATGCAAAAACTGCCGCACCGCAATTGGTCATTGAAGACAATATACAGTAATTCCTTTAATATCAAAAATTTATTTCTCGCACCCCGTTACTACGGATTCTCACTATTAGGGACACTAAATGGCGGTCCTGGGGGGTGTCTACAATAACGGGAGTTGACTCGGTATTACTGTTGCAAATTATTAAAAATTGTACTTAGCTCCATGGCGTGTGAGGAATAAGAGAAAAGAAATAGCGTCATTGAACTTTAGATTCAGGGATTAATAATCCATTTCTTTTGATTTATTACCTTCAGCCTCGGAGCTAGCCCACTGTGTTGAGTTGTTTCTGTGAAAAATATGCAAAAGAATATTTAACCTTTACCTTCATGGTCATCATCTTTTCGCAGACCGGCATTTATCTGACGTCTGAGTTCTTCGCTTTGCACAATTTTCTGAAAACATTATAAGATTCTTTATTATCATTACTATTAATTTGTTCTACATAACTTTTTTTTCTCAAGATAAAGAACCGTCGAAACACTGACTTCAAAACAAATTCAGAAATAACAAAAGCTCCCTTCCCCACCAAAAGAGACAATTATTTCATTTCTACCATACACAATCTGCAAACTGCCCCAACACAAGTCCGCTCCTGATATACATTGTTTCGTTCAAGCCAAGTTTCACTCTACCGACATTGTGAAATCTGATTCAAAGTTTACTATATATGATGGACACTCATCATTTCGAGGAGAGGTAGAATATCTCGGAGAAATGATTATTGTAAAGGTTTTTGAAACAACCGCTTAGGAGATATTTAATTACCTTTCCTGATGCAGGCATTTTTGTTGAGTTTTCAGGTAAAGCTTCACTTGTGACGGTTTGTGAGTCCAAAATCACACTGTTGATAGCACAGCATGTCTTTAGGTCTTTTATAGTCGTTGATGTTCTGTCGACCTGAAGTCAGGTGAAAATCAGGCGAGGAGCTTATCACTGAAACGGACTATGTATAGAGTAAACACTCGAGAATAAGAACCTGGTAGATTAATACATAAGAACGTCCTGACAGATATTAGCCACTTTAATACCTAACGATACAAGAATCTATTTAGCCAAGCAAGATCAAGCAGTTTCTTATAATTTTTATGTGAGTTACAATTAAAATATGATAAACAATTTATCAACCAAGGAGTGTAACTTTGAAATTGTAAATGTAACAAGAACATACCGTACCAAACTCTAAATAAATTCGGTAGTCTGTTTTGTTGGGGTTCTAATAATACAGTTGTGAATAAATTCTACCGTATTTTCAAGGACCAAACCCAAGTTTATTTATTTTTCTGGTAATCAACAATCTAATACTCTCCTTCATAATAATTTTAAAAGAACCTAGTAGCCTTGCCAAGAAGTAGCCCATAAATAAAAGAACCTATTTTGCCAGACTTTAAAAACGTGGGTGCTAATTCGCGGATGTTTACTATATTTCACATAGAACTTAACACCCGATTTCATCTCTGATGTTGTTACACAAAAGTAGATTATTAACCGTAAATCTTGTCATGTGCCTGCATCTTCTGACTTTCTTTAAGTCAAATCATGCGAAAGAAAACTTCAAAAAAAAAAAGAATTGAAGACTGAGGGTCTTTGGATTTGCTTTTAATCTCGTAAAACGCATCAATTCCATGTCTATATGAAGCTATTTTTTTCTGGATACTGTATAAAGCAACTAATGTCGAGGCCCGTCATCAGAGGCCTCCTTCCACTTCCTGACATAATTATCTTGCAATACATGTATCGAAGCCTCAGGAGACCCTAGAGGCGCGCAGGGTACCAATTATTGTGATTATATAAACTGGAATAAGAAAACAAAAATAAGATGGTAAATTATATTTGCCCGATATATCGATTGTAACGCAAACCTTCAAGGGCGCTAAAAAGAAAAAGGAATCTCTCCTTGAACGTTGTTGGTGTTGCAAACCGAAATATCGGGCAAATATAAATTACCGTTTAATTTTTGTTTTGTTTATTCATTGCTTCTATCACTCTTCCTGTCGTAAGGATCACTTTACTGTTTTAATTTTCAAATTTGGTACTGATGTTGTTACTGATCCAGGTCTACTAAAGAGTGGCTGACCCTCACTGGTTTGTCGTTGTGGTTTTGCCTTCACAAGTGTTATAGAATAGGAAAGGCGCTTCGAAACGAGCGATAGTAGTGTTTTGCACCACAGAAAATCCAATTCATTTTAATGTATTTGAAGGAGGGCTGATAATAGGATTTTTATCATGGTTAAATGAGCCAATAACTGGGGGGGGGGGCTGGGGGGGCTGGGGGTGGTGTATAAGTGACAGTTTAAGGTAACGTGTAAGGTTTTTTTTGTTTTTCCTTAAAATACACACATAGCTGAGTAAGAGTAAAACTAAATTTCCGCTTATTGGTTTATTCAACAATTGAGAATTTTAATTGCTTTCACTATTAGTTTCAACCATTTCTAAAAATATACATCTGCCAAAACCTCCGCTTTAAATCTACAAGTATTAGCCACAATTTTCTAGTGACATTATTCCACGGTCCCTCGCCATAACAAAAAACTAAATAATTTTTAAAAGTAACAGTACGTCATAAGCGATTACGTTTATCTAGTTTCTTCGTAACGTTTGGTTTCGTCGAGAAAGAAACTAAAACATCTTGCATTTTAAATGAGCGTAATTGTAAAACCAAAACAAACGTAATTGGCAATCATAACAAGCCCTGACATTAAAATTACCCAATCACGATTCGAAGAAAATACTTTGACCGTCTTCAAAAGCTACAATACTTACTAGCGATTACGAATCACGCTGCTCACTTGTGACTGTCGAGAAAGTGCTACATTCCTTTTAAAGCGAATCACAAAGCGTAACAATGCAAGATAACTCCCTTTTGCAATGCTATCTATCATTTCTTTTCCGGGGATTATGTCGTTTTGTTTGTTTCTTAACAAAACCACGTTTTGAAAAAGATAAAAGTCAAATCACCCATTTGAAACGACTTGCAAGTGTGCCCCTTAGCTAGCACACAATTGTTCACTTAGTTCTCCTCAATTCAAGGAGCCTGAGAAGCAGCGAGTTTACCACGCGGCAACATACAACAATTTTACGGATATTTTAATATTTTATGGTGCGCTTCATAATAACAATCTTTTGATATATTCCATAAGCTTTGACGTAGCAGACTTATCTACGTGATCAAGGTGATTCGATTCATGATGAGCGTGTATACCCAAGAACGCCTTCAATAAAATTGTAATGTTCAATTTCCTTCTATAACAGAATGACAAAGACCAAGAATAAATATATTTCTTTTTTACATGTCTGATTTACGGTCAATTATTTGTTGCCCACGCTGAGCCATGAATTAGCTGCCTTGTGACGCAACGATTGCAGGACAATCACATTACTCTATTAAAGGTAGTCTACGTGTGGCCGTACTCTTACCCCACAGAGAAAACTTTTTCAGTTCCGTCTTCTCCGCGGGGGAGCCTGGGCTACGTAAATAGCCTCCACCGTTCCTCCACCGCAGCCATAACTTAGTCGGCCTTGTCACGCCATCCTTCTTCGTCACGCAACAATTGAAGAACAATAAAATTACTCGTTAAGAGGTAGCCCACGTGCAGTCCTCCCCTTACCCCTCGGCAAAACCTTTTTCTTTTCCGTCTTCTCCGCTGGGGGGCGACGGGGTACGTTAATTGCTCCCATCCCAGCCATCCTTCCACAGGAGGAAGGGAGGAGAGGGTACGGTAGGCTATATAGAAGGCTATAAACGCGCAGACGACATAGTGTCACGTTGTAGGTGAAAAAAGTTCTGAGCTGGCATCATTGCTTTCAGATGGTGCTTGTATCAAAGGTTCCAATCGTCCGACATTCAAGGTTCCAGCTTGTTGAGGTGATAGAGATGATGCTAATGATAATGAAGACTGTGAGCTCGATCTTGAGGACAAGTTGGAGTTACTCCCTCTGCTGTCAACTGTCGTTGAAAATGTGCCTGGAATTGTCGCTGGATTGGTATATTTTTTCGGTGATTCAGGAGCTGCGCTGGCGCTGACTGGTTGAGCGGCGCCAGGATGAGAATAAAGCGATCGAGGTGAGGACGGAGGGCTGCCGCAAGCAAATGAAAAATGAGATAAAAACTGATTAGATAACGGTAGGTAAAATCACAGGGAACCCAAATGCTGTGTAAGCTTCATCGTAATCCGTTGTTATTTACCTGTGTTGTCGAGTCTTTACGAGTTGTTTTGGAAGGGACTTGAATTAGATTAAAGACTGTTTATCTTGCCGGTTTCAAATGTTTAATCTTGCTGGCGCGTCCTGAAGAGAACGCGACCGTCAACGCTTATTCAAATCCCTTCCAAAACGACTCATAAAGACAGTGTAGTCTGAAACGTTTGCCCAACATGTAAATCAAATAAACGTAGTGTTCAGGGGTATTCTCCAGATAGATTGCGAGTAATCTAGATGTATCTACACCGTACACAGGTCAAAATAAAAACATACCATATGTAAAATAAATCTAACATGAAGGTCAACAAGACATTAAATTAATTTTATGACAGCGGTTTTAATGGAGGGCATAGGAACAGACAAAGGGCAAAAAGAGTAGACACTGGATAAACAATTAAATAGGAAGAGGAAGATCGGGGCTGTAAGGAGATAGCCTGCGTAGCTAAAGGTATTGGCGGGTGAGCGCGCAAATATAAGCGACGAAACCGCGGTTTCCCGTTGTTTCCAGAGCCCGTTTTCGCTCACGCTATCCCCAACAAAAACGACAGCTAGGTACGCTAGAGAGGGGAAGGGGAGGGAGGAAGCAACCGAGGAAGAAAGTGCAACAGTTCAAGGATACGAAATCACTTCCTATTTTGGGCTACATCTAAATATCTCTGTTCACTTACAGTAAGCAATTAATTGTCTCTAAGGTGACTATAACATTGATGTTTGGATGTATGTAGTTAGAGCATTCAGTGACAACTTTATGGGATTCCATGGGGATTTCATTGGACACCAGCAGTTATATATGTATTCTTCGCTGTTTCCCTGACTTACAGCACTTCTCTCGATTCAGTTACATATGAACGTTACACAAGGTGTCAGCAAAAGACAACCAAAAAGGTGAGAGATAACATTTAACATTACCTCCGATGTGGATTATCATTGCCAGTAGTATTTTGTGTAGAGTGTGATGAAGGATCTCTTTTTGAGTTTGTCATGTAGATATCGCCATTAGAAAGTTCATTTGCAGGATCTTCTACTTTGCCCAGCATACTGTACCTTCAAATTAAAACAGAATCAGTCGGCATGAGTTAGAAGAGATCAACTTGTAGCCTTAAAACATTACGTCATCAAGTCGCAGCGCTATAAAACACGAGACAGAATGTTTTATCACAATATCAAACACCTTGAAATTGGTGAAATATCTTCCGCCATAATAATGTCTTATTTTCAGCTCTATTGTCCATGATTGATAGGTATAATAGTGTCATTAACTCTTAAAGCAGTTTGTGTCAAAGTTAACTAATTATTGAACTCCATAGCCAATGTTCTGTAACTGTTTATTCCTTCAGCTCACATTTATTTTATGACATCCACTCGATAAGGCTTATTAATTATTTCGGTGTCCCAAACTCCATACAAACAACGAGTATTTAACACCGCTTCTTTTCCCTCTCCTCTTTTTTCCCTTGTAAATCTTTAATAATATTGAAATTGTAAATTATTTGGACATATAATAATCTATTATTATTATATTTTTAAAAATTATCAGTTTTGTGTGACAGAGTGAAATAAAAAGTTGAATTGAACTGTTTGATTAGCCAACAAGAAAGCTCTTCATTTCGAGTGGACAGGAAGCAGCGAAGCCATATAAAGGAGTTCTTCATTTTCTCCAGTCTACCAAAAAATCTTGGGAGATCTAGTGTTTTTATCACAATAGAAGTCTAATTATTACAGATTTTGTTAGTTCTGATCTATTGTAACAAGACTTTGTCTGTCTGTAATAACGTCATAATTAAACATATCTGACTCTCAGTATGCAGTTGTCTGATTTTGTTTAATCACTCACATACATGTGTGCTTACAAACCAAGCCGGACTGGGCCTGGGATTGTACTAGGGACATGGAAACAACATTGGCCAATATCTGACCAGTGCATCTCCAATAACAATCTCAGAAACAATTGCAGGACATATTTTGGCTCCAGTTTCCTTCTTGTTTCTTAAGTGGTAAATTATCATAAATTAATTGTTTAAATTAAGAATACTTTATTACACAAACACCAATGAAACACCACATGAACTTTCACACGAAAACGGATATCTTCACAGTAACACGTGAAAATAACATGTTATCATCACAGCTGAAAAGATCACAGTTGAAAAATTGCAACTGCAAAAAATTAAAGTGAAATAGTTTGATATTTCATTGGTGTTTATGTATGTAATAAATAGAACATTGCATGGCCGCTTGGAGATAAGAGATTTCTCTTAGAGTGTTATCGCACTGCCATGTAATAACCTCTAGTTATTTACCTTTGTGTTTCATCCTCTTCCCATGTGTCCTCATCATCACTAGAATCATCTGGTGCAACATAGAGTACCTCAAGTGTAATTTCACCATGTACTGCAGATAAGACTTTCACAGCCTCACTATGTTTAGCTTCTTGTAGGTCAATTCCATTAACTGCTAGTATAGCATCACCTACATAAAGTCCTCCTGATCTGTCCACGGGCAAACCTTCATGAATCTCAGATACAATGATGGGTACACCATGTTCCTTCCCACCCTAGAAGCAGTATCAAAAACCTTTATGGTTATGGGAATGGTACGTGCAAGTTTATTTCAAAAACCTACAACTAACAACATTATTGAAAATGTGCCTGGCTAGTTCCCCTTTGATGTCTTATTCCTTCTTCACTTATTAGAAGTTAAGAAAGAAGAGAAAAATAAGTGAAGAAGGAATAAGACATCAAAGGGGAACAGCTTGGATAATTAATGGATAATTGATGAGATCAAGCAAAACTAACTACGAGAGAACGACTCTAGTGGAGAACTGACAATTTGACTAACAATAGATGACTGTTTAACTGTGACAATAGATGGATCGAAATGTACCAATTACTGATTACGAGCCTTCATAGCCAATAACATCACGGCTTAACTGACAGACGACCAAAAACATCGCGACGTAATTGACCAATCAGATCAATAACCAGAGTATAATACCATTAACTGACGTGATACAACTCACTTTGACTCTGAAGATGACTACCGCACAGGTTATTGAAACGTCAGTCACTGTCAACAACAACAGTCCTATTCAGGACTACGTTCACCTGGACGATCAAACTTAACCTACTTTTGAAATGACTCCTGGGTTCAAAACCTTTCACATAATTAGTAATGGTTATAGGACTGACAGGAGTACAAGCCATGATGCAGGGCTCGAAATTGCGACTGATACAGTCGCCAATGCGACTAGCATTTTCTCCTTGGCGACTTAAACTTCTGGCTTAGTCGCACTTTGGCGACCAGATTTCTCTATGATATAGATTTAAATTAAAAGAGTAAAGTCTGTTAAAACAAAAATTTCATCTTTTCTTGCTTTGCTTTCGTCATACAAAATGTGCTAAATCGCATAAACAAAGCCAATTTATCTCCAAATTTATACCGACTTCTGTCCGCGATATTTTTAAACGATCAAATCTGATATCAGAAGCCCTGTAGTATAGTGCGATCTAGGTCGCGGAAGTAAAATTTCACGGGATTTTCAGAGACAGATTTGGCAGAAATTTTCACGGCTAACTTCGCTGAAAAACAGCCGATTTCGTGGGAATTTTGTGGGCAAATTTCGCTCGAAATCGATTGATTTTGCACTGATTTGACGACCGTGTGTGATGTTTTTAACAGAGATAATCTAACATATTCTAGCAACAAAGCGCTCGAGAAATGAGCCAATGGCAAAGCTTTTAACATCATGACTAGTGCCCAGTGTTTCGCAACATAGTTTACGCCTGGTAATTTTGAGACATTTTTCGCGCATTGTGGTGATGAAGTTTCAAGGTAAATTTGCAAGGTTTCGGCAATTAAACAGCCCCATTAGCCGAAATGAGTTTCAGATATGTTGTATCGACAAGTATTTGATAAGATTTCTCGCGAATTTCGCGGTATTTCGCACATTATTGTGAATTTCACGGGATTTTGCAGGTTTACCTGAAATTCGCGGCTCAGCGACCGCGCTAAATATCAGAAGCCAAGCTGATACTGTGAGCTGCTTCATTTACATCATACAAACTGGCGACTAAAAATTTGTACCTGGCGACTACATTTCTCCAGTTTGTCGCCAAAAGGCGACCTGAAGATTTTTTTAATTTCGAGCCCTGTGATGTATGATTCAGGACAGGTACATGTAACTTCAAATCAGCCGAGCATGTTCCGCAAGGAAGAATTGAAATTTCAGCCCCCATTATCATGAATTGTACAACACAAAATCCTATTACATATTTGTACCAATTCACTGTGTCAATAACGAAAAGCTCAGGATTGAAATAGCATTTAATTTGTTTCAGTACAAAGTTCTTACAACTGTACAATGTATTACACCAAAACAAAAACATGGCTTACAAGATTGGGAGAAACTGTTGGAATATTTTAATTAAATATGAAACTATCGGAATACGGTGTACACTGTACATAAGCTGGAGTTAGCAATAAATAAGGACTGCTGAGAAAAAATCACTTTCCAGAATTTCGTTATTGACACAATTAAGAAAGATAGGGGAGGGGGTGGCACTTCATGAAAACTTGGGTAAGGTAATGAAGCTGAGGCAATCAAACCCTGACCCAGTGTTTCAGACAAAATCTTTGGTTCTCCATTTAAGACAAGGGGTAGACAACACAACTGACAAAAAAAAAATAATATTATACCCAAGTGATCAGCCTAAAACTGCCAATCATGACCCTCACCGTTATTGATATTCCTAGTCCCTCTGTTTTTTCTTTATGAATCACAACTGTCCTTGGTTCACCGATGCCTCTTCTTTTTCTTGCTTTACTTTCAGCATCCTCTTCACTTTCTAATTCTTCAGGTTTAGGTGGCGGTGGGGCTGGTGTCTTATTGTTAGGATCTTTCCTCCCTCTACATGCTCTGATGACAGTTTTGTGTCTATGCAGATGAATTTCAGCCTCAATTTGATTCCACAGTTGGTCATGTTCACTGCCCCTCATGTCACGGCCAAGCAGCTGAATTTGTTGTATTCTAAAAATAACAGTGTATAATTATTATTTATAGTTACTATTATTAAAAGTACCAATAAATATCAGGGAGGCTTTGGTGCGAAAAAACTTGATATCTTTGAACATGAAAATAACACGTTATCTTCACATGTGAAAAGACCTCTGTTGCTATGGCTCCAAGATCAATCGCACCTTTTGCAGCAAAAAAATATATATTGAACTGAAATGGCTTGGTATTTTATTGGTAATTGAGATAATAAATATTATTTATAATATAACATTACATGGTAAATATTAAATTTCTCTTCCTGCAGGGTGCAAAGAAAATCATTTTACAGCTTGCCAGTCGAGCAAGCTGAAGCTAGCATATACTAGTCCAGACGTCATTTCAACTAGCCCCAAAAACTTTTTAATTTTGACTCGCAGAATTGATTTCACAGTTCTTCTAGCTGTTATTCGAATTCCTCAAAAGATATCACTTGCCCATCGGGCAAGTCAGAAACAGAATTCGCTAGCCTGATAGCAAAATCCACTAGCCCCGCGCTATCGGACAGTACTTTCTTTGCACGCTGCTTCCTGCTGATATATTTTCCAACACTCAAAGTAAAATTTTGTATCCCTGAGCAGCCACATACATGTAATATCCTCAGTGAAGACTCCTTACTATTAAACAATAATATGCATAATCAAATGTTGAAGACTGAAAGTAAAATTAGGAAATAATTTCAAGTGCATTTTGTCCAGGATTTCGACAAAATGCATGTGAAATTATTCCCTAATTTCATGAGTATTAAAATTACATATTAATATCATAGGTGACAATTATGCTCAGGATCATGGGTTTTTTGCATGTACATCGTATCAAATAAACACTGAAATTTCTCACCAAGATTAAGAAGTTATATGTCACCCATGATATTATATTCTTTTTTTAATAATAAGTTGACTTCATTGGTTCCAAAAGTAATACAGTCATAACACACAACTACTAGTTGTCCTCAAAATTTTGAGGAGTGATGTTTGTCTGCCAAAAATAACACAAGCTCGTCCCCAGGTCTTCTTGGTTAACAGTGCCTTAACCTGCGAAAACGCTGCATTTTTGACGTCACACAAAATTCTTCCACATTTGGTCATCAGTAACTGGTTATGGTGAATCAACTGTGTGCTTTTAGCCAATCAGAATCAAGGAAATATTTTGAATGAATAATAATAAGTGTTATATATTTATCTTCATCTTACTTTTATCTACACAGTGTATCAAAAAATGCAAATACATGATTTATTAAATCTCAGCTTTATGTTTCATATATCACGTTTACATTTTACATTGAGATATATATGAATTGACAGCTGCATACAGTAGTTTTACTCTTATCAAAAAAGTACTATCACAAGTATTATTAAGTATTAGTGGTGGGCCGATGATCGATTATAATCGAAAGTTGATCGAAAAGTTCAAGTGACGCGACAATCGATTATGCTTTTTTCATAATCGATTGTCGCGGAAAAATTAAAAATTTATTGGCGACAAATAAAAGTATTAAAATCAATAAAAATGTATGTTTAATATCTTGGTGTGAATTGTCTTTTTTCGTGGACTCCTAACTTCTAAGTCATGACAGCAGATATAATCTAAGATTGAATGTGTTTGCCCATGGTCGATTGTGAAATCTCAACCGATTCCCACCACTATTAAGTATTATCACAACTCATTTAGTTTATGCATGCCTTTACGTCACATAGATTACCTTCCAGCTAACTCTTTATCAAGATACTTTGCAGCGAGTCTTGCTCCATACACTTCACCCTGAAGTGAAAAGATGTGGTTCCTCAACCCTACATTTTCTTTCTCTATTTGTTTAATTTGACATTCCATACGAGCTTCTTTCATGGCATCAGTCTTATATCTCATCATCTCATTTTCCTAAAAACAAGTAAAGAACAGATGCATTATTCTTGTATTCAACACTGACACTGGTGGAGTAAAGTGAGTCATTGGGGAGCTTAAGCAACAACTACAACAACAGCTACAAAAACGTCACTTAAAAAGTGAATTGACACTGCTTCAAAATTTATCACACTTAATCCCATCTTGCTCAATTCATCAAATGTTGGCAAATGTTTCTAGCATTGTATACTAAAAGACTGTTTCCAAGTTCATGAAAGGGAAAAGAGAGTCATTGTCTTGCATTCACATCTTCCATAAAAAGTGCAATTCAATATAGGTAGTTTCACAGTGAAGTGATAGCAAAGAAAATAAATGTACAAGAAACATGATGCACACATAAAGTTGTTGTTTTGCTTATTTAAACCTAATGCTTTTTTGCCATAAATTCTCGTCGCTGTTGCTGTTGCTGTCAATGTTGCTTGAGCTCTCTATTGGTTCTCAGAGCTGTCACTAACTCTCAATTAGATGAAAAAGAAATCAAGAGAGCTGAGGATTTGGAGTTTGAGGTTTTCAAGCATCTCCAGAGCAAAAAACTTTCACTGATCAAGGATTTAAGGCCACTGGAAAACAATCACAGACCTGTAAACTAGCTTCTCAAACTCATTAATAATTCATAAAGAAAACACAAAGAAAACCATTATTTTTTCCATTAAGTAACGACAGATGTGACAGTCTGTTAAGAATAAAATGAATACATGTACAAATGTTCCAAAATTTGTCTGCTAGTGCAGAAAGGCCCTAAGTCAATTGCCATACAGATTCACACAGTAGCCATCAAAGTTTAAAATCTTTTTTTCCTCTATCCGCTAATCACACTTCCACTGAAGTCCCTACCTCTATACTAAGGCCACCTCCATACAACAGCTACAGGTGTACCACATACTGTTCCAAAGATGTCCATTGTGTGTAGAGGTTCAAAATAAAATTACCCCTTAAGCTCATTGTACAGACAACTGCAAATCAAAGATGCCAACGTTCTACTTACTAGCTTGTTCTTTATATTTTCTGAGTCTAAAGGCATCCCAGCATTAGAATGTAGCTGGAGCTGAACAGCATGTAGCTGAAGAAGCAGATTGTTAACTTCCCTCTCCAACACTTGTTTAGCAGCTCTTTCTTCCACCAGGTCATGCCTAAGGGCAACCAATTCAGCCTTCAAAAGAAATAAGAGTGAAAATGATAAATACAAGGAATTTCTTCTAATTGATTTAATCATTATTATTAATTACAGTGTACATGTACATAGTAATATAGCACAATAAATCATCGAAAATCCTGTTCAAAAAGGCACTTAAAAATATTATCTTGCTCAATATTGACTTGTGTGCGTGTGTGTGTGTGTGTGTACGTGTTTGTGTTTTAATGAATAACAAAACTACAAAAGAATAAAGTCAATCTTGTTAAAGGGCCCTGGTTAGTTTTACTATAATGTGCCCTTCTCCATTCTAGTTTTCTTCTTTTATTATTATTATTATGTACACGTAGTTTAAGCAACTTTGTACCGATTGATATTGTACAACTAATGTATTATTGATATTGTACAACAATTTTATTATTGTACAACTAATGTATTATAGGATGGAGTAAAAATAAAATAAAAAATAAAAATAAATAAATATAGCACAACCTGAGATCAATACAGAACTGCAACTACTGAAAATCATTGCTCAAGAACATAGTTCCATCTACAACAACAACAACAACAATCTTTATTGGGCGATTCCAGAAAATATCCATACCATACCACGGACGGCTTTAAGGATTTCCGAAGGGGAGGGGGGATTCACAATTATGGAATTCTGAAGGCATGGGGGGGTAATTACGAATTGAAATCCGAAGGTATGGGGGAATTCCACAGGTGGGATTTCTGGAGTAGAAAGTGTAGAGTAAGTTCCTGGAAAACGCTATTGTTGTGGACTTTTGTAGTTCGTAAATAAACCACGAACGTATGACCGCGGAAGCAGAAGACAAGCATCGATAGATCAGACACGTGTTTACGCTCATAACTTATAGAAGTGAACAGTAAAACGTTGGTTTCACATTTACCTTGATGAATTTCTTGTCACGTGAATAAAAACTGAAAATGTATCTTTTAATACCCCTTGCAAATTTCTTGGGCGCTTTCCATTTAGTCAAAATTTCCGGAATTTCCGGTTCGGCGGTAAATGGAACACGTTTTGTCGGTTCGTCCCACTGGAAAATTCCCAGAAAAAGTGGAAAATCTAAAAAGGTGGTCCCGTTTTCCCGGTTGGAATTTCCGAACGGAATGTCGTGTTCCATTGACGTTTCTTATAGTTTGTACCAGTTCCAGGTCCACGGTCGGGCACCCGGCCACGTACCGGGGTTTACGACCAAATGGAACAACTTTTTACCGATCGGAAATTCCACTTTTGCTACCACCGAAATTTCCGGGTTTTTTTCGTAAATGGAAAGCGCCCCTTGTTACTCCCGTCCGAAACCGTCCGATAAACAGTAAAAAACTCGCACCAGTCCCTCACTTCCAAGGAACGCCTGTCAGTTAGAACGCTTTTCGTGCGCACTACATGACGTATAAAAGGACGCAACACGACTCGACGGTATATTTGACCGCCAAAAGATTTTAACAGTCTGTTTGAGCTATTTTCCTTTGTAAACGTCAAAACAGCACAAGAAAACAAAGAGGAGTAAAATTACCTTAAGTGGTGTTTATTTTTATAGCCAAATTCAGACTTAAAAAGGAGTTTGCACGGCCTGGCAACTAGCGTAGGTTTTTCTTGTCACTGAAGAGTAAAGCTTGTCACCTGGCGCCGCTAGATCACAGCCTTGAGGAGGCATAAATTCATGTTCGTTTGTTCTTATAGGCGTTGCTAAGTCGAAAATGTACTTCCAAAAAAAACCGGAAATTCTGAAGGGGAGGGGGGGTTCACGACTATGGAATTCTGAGGGCATGGGGGGGTAGCGCATTTTGGAATTTCCGAAGGCAAGGGGGGGTTAAAACATGGAAGCCGTCCGTGGTTGGGTATGGATATTTTCTGGAATTGCCCATTGTGCTCTTGATACAAAAATTGTAAAGACATTAAGAGGAAATAATTGTAAAAAAAAGAGAGAGCACAGCCACTCAGAAATAGCAAAAGCTAATCGCGCTCAGTGGCTGGGCCATGTGGAAAAGTAACTACAGTATCAAAGTAGTTATAAATAAACAAATGCACACAAAAACACACAAAGAAGAAATATATAAGCTGTAATAAATAAACAAATACACATACCAATCAACAAAGAGGCAAGCCAAAACATTGGCTTTACACATAATTAGCGGCATATAAAGTACACCGATCAATGTTTGGAGAGGACAGATTCTTTTAAAAGCTTTTAAAAATGACTCGCTGATTTTACATGTAGATCTTCTTTCATAGCATTCCAGAGTTAACCCCATTGAAATGTATATAAATTTTCCATACTTCGTCCTAGCTTTCAGTAAATAATGAGACTTCTTAGAGGCCAGTCTGGTTGCATATTGATGTACTTTATTAATGCTTTTAAAGAAATTATTGAAAATACTTGGAAGTCTATTTGAATAGTAATCAAGCCCTAGGATTTCAAATCCCATGGATAACAATTTTTCGGTTGCGCACTGAAAGATTATGGGAAACTATCGGTAGCAATTTTTTGGTCCCGTGAAAATTCACGGGAACCCACTTTTATTTCTTTTTATGTACAGTAACAGTATCTGTTTTCTGGAAACATGTTGTCAAACATACTTTAAAATTAAAGAACATCAGTCTGTACTAATTATTCGAAAAAACTTCAATGTCTATCAAAATGTCAGAAGAAGGTCAAGAAAGTGTTTTAACACTTTTTTTGAGCACTTAAGTGTCAAGACTCCTCTTCAATTCAACTAAAGAAGGAAGTATACTCACTTGAAATGTTCACTACAGATCTTGTCTTTTCATAAAGAGATTCCGGGCCTCATCATCAGTTTCAAAAATGTAAAATTGTCACTTAAAGACTTCATTCTCATTGTTTTTAAACTTTTGGAGTCATATACTTTTGTCTTGACACTGGAAGCCATAACAATCGTTGCTGCTAACTGTAAAACATCTTTCATACGTGAGTCATCAGTAACGTACAATGCACTTTCGGAACGATTCAAGATGGTGGACAATAGAAAAACAGTAGCATTTTTTAAAATTTTGTTTATACACAAGCTGAGTCATAAAGAATTGTTGTACTAGTTAAGAATCCAAGTGGAAAAATATTATATTTGTATATTTTGTTCCCTCAGTCTGAATATATCAGGACGTGTCACTGGGAAACTATTTCTCAGTTTTGTTGTTTTAAGATCACAGTAATGACATGGTAGTGGAAACTATTGCTACCTTGAAATCCTAGGGCTTCTTAATCATGCATAAAAAGAGCACTGTCTAAATATATTAAATCCTCTAATTTAAGTATCCCCAACTTGGATTTTCTTCCCCATTAAAGACCACATATTCCCAAGCAGGTGTTTGCAATGGTCATTAGATCATGTTGAGAGACTGCATAATGCATCAGTCATTCCAAGTGGAACAATGCAAACAACCCCATCCCTCCCCCCACCCTGGGCTAACACCCAGGCATTAGCATTTTTGTTTTGGCCTTGGATGGCAAATACCCAGCGAGGACGAAAAAAGAGGGCAAATGCCCCGTCCTCCATTAACACTGCAGCAATTTTCATTGACCACATAGTTGAGTAGTGTGTTTTAGTGTGTGATTTTTTTTAAAATTCTACCTTTGTTATAGTGCCATTCTAGTTGAGAGTTGACGTGAGAGGACACCGCTTCATGATTCTTATAATATTGTCGTTTATCTTCTTTAAAATAGGTTGTTGAGAGTGAGCTGTATTTAAAGTTACCTCTTCTGAGTAGAAATTAGAAATACATGTATCATCAACACTAAACTGATTCAAATCCTAGGTCAACAGAAATTTCATTCCATGAAGAAAAAATGATTTTTATGGTTTTTGTGTTGATTCACATTGATAGCTCCTGTCTTCTGTCTTTATAAGAAATGAAGAAATGCAGGGATAAAATCAAGACAACATGCCTTAAAAAACCGCTATGAGTTTTTCCTGTCCATGACAGATGAGCTTTGAATGTGATTGTGTTTTCAGTAAAATCCTCCATGTATGTTTGGATAGGGACGCAAGTACAAGCCAAAAGCTTGGGGTTGGCCCCAGGGTTAGCAAATACCCAACCCTCACACTGTGCAAAATTTGCTAATGCCCCACTCGTGGGACAGACAAGGCGGACAAATGCCCTGCAGTTGCCAGGAAGGGGGGAGGGCCATGGGTACACCTGGAATTGAGTGATGCATAAGACTTTGTTCATTTCAAGATGGTGTTCATTGCATTTTTAGCTGCTCCTAGAATTCACACACAGTACTCTAACAGAGTCTGGAATGGAAGCTGCTAGCAACTTAATCTAGCAACTCGTAAGCACTTACACCCTTAGGTGTTCAGGAAATGTTTTTCACATGAGCTTATATAAACTGGTCGACACCCTGGAATTCACAGGTGAGAGCTTCGGGCCTTTGGTACCACTTTGCATGGCAGTACAAAAATCAGACCTAAGGCCTAATAATACTGTACAAGAGAAATACAGACTTGCCAAGTATTTCATTTGTTTGTATCCAAGGGATATATTAAAAACCCTTGAAAGAATGTGTTAACAAGATCTAATACTTATTCAATACTGTAACTAAACCAAAACAGAAATCAATGAAATTTATAATTTACAGCTGCAGCACAACAATATCCACTTTCTGATGAACAATATGCTCCCCCAACTTGATTTTAAATACTTAAGCAAACTCCAAAGGCCAAAATGGCAGAACTTTGAAAATTTCATCAATGATAACAATACAGTTTAGCTTGTACATATATGCCTGTACATAGACTTCCCGCAACAACTCCATTTTCACTGTTTTTCCTAGTAGATTCTGCATTTCTTATAAGTCTTTTCTGTCTAGCAGGAATATATAATTCTACACCAGTAATTACTCAAGTGCCGTGTGAAAAAGATGACAGAATTTAATTATTAGCCATGGGTTGGTAAATATCACAAAATTATTAAAAAGAAACGACCAAGCTGGCATTCAACGCTGATTTTTATCCACACTGTAAAAGTAATCTCTGGTCTTGCGAAATATATAAGTTGGGCTTATCACCATTGGCATGGTTATAAAAGAAATCCCGTGTTTAATAAGCTTAATTAATACTTTTTTTAATATTCAAATAAAAACAGTCAGAAAGCTGCTGGCTCCTTGTACATACAGGCAGCGTCCCTTTTCTTAAAACAATATATTAAATCTAGGAGAAGAATCACCTGGATGGCTTCAAGAGAAAAGACAACACAAAACAAAACAAAAGCTTGTTAAAAAATAAACAACCTTTGGTTCCTACCTCTAACTTTGCGTTTCCTTGAAATATTGTCTGCGCCTTGTGAACGAGTTGTGCGAAACTAGACGAAAGCTGCGTCATTTTTTGACGTCCATCGTAAGTTATTTCGCTTTGGTCTGGGTCAATTTCCCCTAACAAAATGTCCAGATCAACGAAAGTCTTGTCAAATTCTTTCTCTAACAAATCCAGCCATCGAAACATTGACACGGCGACCGCCATCTTTGAAAGTGCATATGACGTCACGAAAAAGGCCACGAAGTAAACTCTCCCCAGTAGTTCTCGGAAGGCGCGAATCGCTAGAGAGTGGGCGAGATTGGAGAGTGAAAAGACCGGTGTGTCGTCTGGATAGGTTTAGATGACATTAGGAGAAGAAGACGATCTTCCTATGCCTTGAAAACGTTTCTGAGCCTAACGATATTACGATAAACGCGTAAGTGGTAATATTCATCGGCAGTCTGGTAGGCATTTTGACTGTAGAAACCGTTAGATCTTCTAATCCGACTGAATTTTTTGGTGACTATTATGCAAGATCTGCTGTCACTAATGTAAAGCGTGTGCAAACGGGAGCTCTACATAAAAAAATTTGCGTTATTTAATGACGGATTTGCGGAAATACTATTGTTAGTAGTAACTCGGCCTAAATTCCTAACGATGTTATAGTAAAGGCAGAAAACTCAAAGACCAAGCGATCAAATGGATTTGGTCGAATAGTGAAATCGTCATGATGATGATGATGATGATGAAGCTTTTTTCAAGTTACTAGGAACAGAACTCCATACCTTTGGGCCCATATACCTGAGCGAGTGCTTTCCAAAGGAGACCGTGTTGCATTGAATCTGGGTATAGTGAAGTCATGATTGCGCAGTTCATCCCGTCAAAACGTGTCCAAAGCCCGCCAAATATTACCAAATCTCGCCGCTGCCGCTATTTAACTCGTTCTCCACTCAAGAAAAAGCTATGTATTGCAGGAAATGAAATCACTTGCGCACAGAAGAAAATCAGTGGTTAATATGTCTCATTTGTTTTAGCTCGAGTAAGCGAGTGTTATTGTAATGCCATGGTGTTCTAAACTCCTAAGTGCAATTTTTAAAGCAACAGAAACACTAGGTGCCACGCCCGTGCTTCTGTGAGTTAGACACCACGGTATTATGAAATCACTTGCGCACAGAAGAAAATTAATGGTTAATATGCCTGATATGTTTTAGCTCGAATAAGCGAGTGTTATTGTAATGCCATGGTGTTCTAAACTCCTAAGTGCAACTTTTAAAGCAACAGAAACACTAGGTGGCACGCCCGTGATTCTGTGAGTTAGACACCACGGTATTATGAAATCACTTGCGCACAGAAGAAAATTAAGTCAAGTCAAGTCAAGTCAATCTTTATTTAAACACGGTAAAATCCATCAGGAATTTAAAAAATTAAAAATAACCTAACTATCCTAAACAAAATTCAAAACCTGACTACAACTAATCTAACTAAAACCTGTTTTTCATGAATGCCGTGTATAACATTAAAAATGAACATTAACTAATCTTTTAAATTGACTAAGAGATTCAGCTTCTCTCACATGACAGGGTAGGCTGTTCCAGAGAACTGCTCCGCTATAAGTAAAGCTGTTTTTCATGAAATTAGTTCGCGGAAATGGGACAAATAGTTTGTTAACAGAGTCCCTCAGGGAGTAACGCGTTTCATTTCGTTTAACAAACTTAGATGATAAATATTCAGGAACAAGGCCATTTAAAGACTTGTATACCATTATGGATTTCTGTATTTGAAATTGAGTGCTCAAGTCTTTCCAATCGAGTTGTCTAATCAAACGGTTAGCATCAGCATCATAGCTAGAGAAGGTTAAAACGCGAGCGGCACGGTTCTGAAGCTTCTGTAGCCTGTCAAATAATGTTTTACCACAATTACCCCAGACAAGATTGCAATAATCGAAATGAGATTGAATTAGTGAGTTGTATATATAGTGAAGGGTAGGTGGAGGGACAAAAGGTCTAATTCTTTTTATTGCTCCAATTCCGGAAGCGACCTTTTAGATAATTTATCAATGTGTGTTTGCCACCGTAGATTTTCATCAATAAATATTCCAAGCGATTTGACAGAGGAAACGTGTTCTATCGGAACATTATTAATCGAGAGCTCAAGTGGGTTCGACAAAGTACTCAATTTTTGTCTGGAGCCAATTAGCATGAATTCAGTTTTAGAAGTGTTCAAAGTAAGTTTATTGGAAATAAGCCATTTGTTTAGGTTATCTAAATCGTGACTCAGAGTTAACTGTATTGAATTCACATCAACGCCAGCATAAGTAATGTGGGTGTCATCGGCATACATTCTAGGCTGGCACGAAGTAAGGCAGTTTGGCAAGTCATTAATATAAATAAGAAATAAAAAGGGGCCAAGGATTGTTCCTTGCGGTACCCCACATTTAAGAGAGCAGATTCTAGAAAGAGAACCGTTAACAAGACATCGTTGTGTACGATTAGTTAAATACGACCTAAACCAATCAAGAGCTGTACCTTGTATTCCGTAAAGGTTCATTTTAGCTAGAAGGATATCGTGGTCAACGGTGTCGAAAGCCTTTTTAAATCGAGGAAAACCACAGCATTAACATTGCCACGATCAATATTAAAGGCCCAATTATCCGTAGCTTCCAGAAGGGCAGTTGCAGTTGAGTGTAACGAGCGAAAACCCGATTGATGATTAGAAATGATATCTTCATTGGTCAAAAAGTTATACAACTGATCATAAACAATCCTTTCAAACACTTTAGCTATAACGGAAATGACTGAAATAGGTCGATAATTATTCAGATCAGATGGCTCACCTTCCTTGAACAACGGAGTAACTCTAGCACATTTCCAATCATCAGGAAATATACCAGAGACTAAAGATTTATTAAAGAGATCACATAGTGAAACTGAAATAAGATCAGCACATTCACACAGCATGAAAAATCAAATTTACGTGAGCGTAATGACAACGTAAAGTCAGCGTATAGTTGAATTTTACACAACTTTACGCTTCCTTTACTCCACGTAAAGTTCAGCTTTACAGCACCTTTGCGCGTACATATAAAGCTGGCGTAATGAAACAAAAACTTTACGCAACACCTTTACGTTTTGCGTAAAGCTTGTGTAAACCCTGCTTTAAGCTTGTGTAAAGCGAAAATACAAGCTCCTTTACGCCATATATATATACACATAAACACACTGGAAACTTTAAAAATAAAGGGAAATATAATGGTAATCGGTAAATTTTTCTTACGAAACTTTTAACAATCAAGATTTTATTTTTGTCCATGTCAAATATCTGAATTTTCCACAAAAACATTGGATTTTTGTTGTGTACTTAATACCAGTTATTTTCTTTGGTTCCCCATCATCTCTCCATAGTATTTACAATCTGGAGCCATGGAGGATTACTCATATATACATTACAAATAATTGCATGAGTAATCCTCAATTCAAGTTTCGACATAAAATAAAATACCCTAATATGTAACAACACTTCAACACACAGTTAAAGGATTAGGCCAGAAATTTTGTTTTTATTCTTCAAAACTGACAACAAAAACGAAAAGTTATAAAGCGTTGAAAATCCAATAGACCTATAGAAAAATAAGAACCCAACTTCAAACTGACATTAGTCATCCCTACTATTAAGTTATAACTTGCTTTAATGGAGTTATATTGTTTCACCAGTAGATGAACTTTGAATAAGTAGTAGTTTAAAAAATAGGGCCCCTTTCCGTTTCCAATTTTGCATTACCATAACCAATTTTCAAATTGCCTATCTTTATTTTTACATTTCAAATCCCATGAAAATCGCCAGGTATGCTACATTGTTATAATTGCAAAAGCTGCAAATACGAATCGCATTCTTTAAGTTTAGTCCCGCAAAGAGTGACATTACAAGGTTTTAAAAAACAAAACACACTGATACTCTAAAACTGAATTTTCTAAATATAACATGATTTATTTCTGTGTTAGCATCTTTGTCATCACATTAAAAATTAAAAAAAACGAAAATTTTCCAACACGTAAGGTTAAATAAGAAGATACAGTGTACATAAACTTTTCAAATGGGTCAAAACAGTCTTCTCAAAATATCCAAAAAATCATCTTAACTTAGTATTATACCAAATTAAGATGATTTATAGTTTAAAATAATTATTAGCATTTACATGTAAGGTACAGGGTGTACAAGAAAACTGATGAAGTTAAATTTTGATTAAAAAACAGCAACTCTAACACACAAATTAATGTAAAGGTGGGTCAAAATGGTCTCTTCCAAAATGAAAATATTTAGTATAATTTAGCATAATTCAAATTAAAAGCTTAAACAATTTTAGATAAGAAATAAAAAGACTGAAAGCCTAATACATGTATAACATTGATGGTTTCTTGATTTAGCCCTTTCACTCCCAGAAGTGTTTACAGTCAAATTTAACAACAAAATCCAAATAACAAATCATTTTCATAAACTGATGATGTAAAAGTTAGATGCACAAGGCTGTCACTAGGATTGCAAGTTGCAGGGTTTAAGTGAAATTAGTGAGCGGGACATTGAAAATGTGGAAAGTTTCGTTTCCTCTCAAAACAGCCAAGTATTGGGCTCAAAGAAGCTGATTTAAAGTCTGGTTTATGGCCCTTAGTGACAGCCCTGGAACCACTTTACAAGACTAAGGCTTGTAATTAACATGTATTAATCCTGTTTGCTTTGAGAGGACTTTCTGTCACCAACATCCCATACCAGGCTGATCTGCTGAATAAATAGAAAGCAAGTATTATTTGAGTAAACTACACAGATTATTTGTAGGCTAGTGATAATACACTTAATCGCGCACTAAAGGCACAAGTACATGTACAGTAAGGGGGTGTTTACATGAGAAAACTCACACCGGCACGAGTCTCACACCGGGATGACTTTTTGATTTTGTATCGGGTTTACATTATGACTGAGTCATTTCATATCTCGTTATTTGAAGGTACACTTCATGTTGATAAAATACAAGTGTGATTCAAAATCGCAAACATTACGCGTGCGCTACCCATTCCAGTCTACTGGTAGACCGATTTCATGCCGAAACGGGTGGTCGTTTCGCATTTACATGATACTGCCATGAGATTTTGTACCAGAGTGAAATTCTCGCCCCGGTACAAGAACCGGGGTGAACTCACGCTGGGTTGACTCGCGCCTGCATGACATTTTGTGGTGGTATCATGTAAACAAATATAGAGCTATGAGAGGGA